CTCATCCCAATCGTTGATTTCTTGATTTGTTAGTTTAGCGATAGCCGAAACGAACGTAGCATTAAAACGTTCCACCTGCCCATTTGATTGAGGATGGTAGACAGAGCTAAAAATGTGATTTATTCCCAATTTCAGTGTCAATGTGGCCATGAGTTTGTTGCAGAAATGAGTTCCTTGATCGCTGAGAATAGTTGTCGGTACACCAAATTTACAGATGAATTGTTTGAATAGGACGTCCTCGTTGACCTGAGCAGCGTTGTTTGGCAGAGCAAAAACAGTCACCTTACAGGAATAATAATCTGTTATGACGAGGGCATATTTGTTGTCATTTGGTGTTGTTTAAAGTGGTCCGCAAAAATTCATCCCGATGAACGCAAATGAACCAGAAGGAGGAGGAATGGGACATAACTTCCGCGATTTCTTTTGACGAGAAATATAAACTGACCACATTTCAAGCAAGACTTTATATAATTTTCGATGGAACTTTCATCTCTGGACACCAATAACGACATTTTAGTTTGTGATACGTACGATTCACAGAGAAATGGCCAACGAGAGGATCGTCATGAAGTGCTCGAAAAAGAGAGGGAAGCATTGACGATGGAATGTAAGGAAGTTTTTGCATTTTTTAATGACTCTGACTTAACTCGGACTCGAAAATTGGAAGACGTTGACTCGGCTGTTTGACTCGAGTCATTCATTCGAAAAAAACGCTATTCATTAACTGCTTCATATCACTGACAAAAAATTAAAGTTCATTTAGAGTTAAAGCAAAGTGCTTTTTCGTATCCAGCACACTTGATAACCTCGAAAATTTTCTATTCTTAGCGAGGGGTGCCGCCAAAAAGTTAAGAAAAATTTTTAAAATTATTTAATTTTATCATGAGGATTTTTCTGTGCTGAATACGAAAAAGCACCTTTCTTTAACTCTAAACAAACTTTAATTTTTTTTTATCGGTGACATGTGCATACATTTCCTCTTGTATAAATTTGGGTTATTTCTGAACACTCTTTCTTATTTTATTTTATTGTTACGTTTCAACATCGAAGACGCCTTCGTCAGACAAAAGTAGAATAAATGTGAAGAACATATAATTAATTAGAGTATATATATATATGTAAAATTAAGAAATAGATAACGAATATCGAAAAGTTGTAGTTAACGTTCTCTATAAAAATAAATAGTACTCGGAAAAAAATAGAAAAATAATATTGACTCGACTCGACTCTACTCGAAAACACTGGTGACTCGACTTGACTCGACTCGAAATCGCTATGAAATGACTCGGACTCGACTCGACTCGAAAAATAGCTTGACTCGCCCAGCACTGCTTCTCTTGTTCTTCCATCAGTTTTGTATGTTAAAACAATCAACAGTAAACGGTGACTTGTCAAGAACAATAGTAGGTGAAGGATCAGCTGTAACTGGTAGTTGATTTACTATTGTTGTCTGTGGGAGTTGTTGCTGTGGTTTCCGCGATGCAGAGCGAGTCATTACAGCCACTAACGCATTTGCGGTTAGTAAGCCAGAAGGATTGGAACACATTCCATAATCCAGATCTATATCATCGACGTTTAATGGAAGTCCGGGATTTCTTGACAGATAGTCAGGAAAACAGTTCTTTTTACCTTCGACATGTAGCACATCGGTGATATTATATTGTTGGAGCAGAATTGAGATTCGATTTGTCAAAGCATTGCGTAGAGTTTTGTTCATCATTTCACAGAGAGGACAATGATCGGTGTGAACGATGAGCTTTCGACCGACAATAAATGATCTCATTCTTTTAATAGAAAGGTAAATAGCCAGTGCTTCCTTAGCAACAATGTCATAGATTTTCTGAGAGCGTTGAATCAGCTGACTATGATAATACAAATTTTTCATTTCACCTTGGATATTTTGTTGTAAGACGCCACTAATTGCAACTTTACTGTCACCACAGGATAGAATTAAAGGTTGTTAATCTACGGGAAAAGATAAAAATACTGGTTCTTCAGTGAGAATTTGTTTCAATTGACGAAAAGCTTGCTACTGATCTAGACCCCAACGGAAACGATGGCGATGTGATTTTGTCAAGTTGGTGACTGAATGTATAGGCGCAGCGATGGATGTAAAGTCTTTGATGTATTTATGATAAAACGATAAAGAGCCAATAAATTTCTTGTATCGGGTTTCCTAACACTTAATATTGCTTCGATTCTTTCTTTCAGAGGTTTAATCTCATAGAAACTCACGTTGTACTCCAGATAGTCGATGTTTAATTTTGCTATTTCACACTTGTCCGGATTGAGCTAGAAATTTGAATGTTGAAGAAGAGAGAGGACTTTCTCGACGTGTTGACTATGTTCTTGGAAGGTTTTTGAGAAAATCACAATATCATCGATGTAGACTAGACAAAACGGGCGACAAGATTGTAATGTCTTTTCCATAACTTTCTGAAAGATGGGAGGCGAATTCTTCAAGCCTTGAGGAAGAACTGTCCACTCAAACAAGAGTGGTGAAGACGGTTTTGTGCCGGTCTTTTGGATGAATCTGAATCTGCCAAAAACCACTACGTAAATCTAATTTTGAAAAATACTTGAAGCCACCCTCCAATTCTTGCAAGGTTTCCTCCATATTAGGAAGCGGATGATTGTCAGACATAGTTACAGCGTTGAGCTTCTTTATCGTCAATGACAAGACGTCCCGATCCATCTTTTTTTCTTGTTACTATCGCTGGAGAAGCATAATGAGAATTCGATAGAATGACATGACCAGAGCGAAGCAAAGGATTTACAAGGTCCTTTAATCCTTAAAGTTTTGCTCCAAAAAATGGAAGTGATTTTGAACGAGGAGGGAAGTGTGCAACGGTTTCAATTGCATGAGAAATGGAAGATTTTGCTATAGTAGGTTTAGGTGTATCAAACGGTTTTTGATTTTGGATAGATTTTAAAATTGACTGTTGAGTTGGATCGTCAATATGTTACAGCACTTTCTCAATGTTGTCTAGAGCGTTTAATGACGTTGGTGTCTCAATTAAACTGTTAAGTACAACTGATGGAGATGGCATGAGACGTTCTTTCATTTGAGAAGGAATAGTGATAGTCCCAATGATCAAACCTTTTGGAAGGCGTTGAGAATATTTTGAAGGATTGAAGTATGGTATTGAAGTTGTATGACGTTCGACTTCTAGTCTTGAATTTCGGAGAACAAGAGCTATCTGCTGACAAAGATTATATGATATAATGATATATTTTTCTATTTCTTACAGTCCATGTTTTACTTGCTAATTAAAAAGTGTGTGGAGTTTGAGATAACGTACATTTCGAATTCATGTAATTATGTGCGAAGTTTGGGATATAGATATAGTCACTTTTTATTAAAAGTGTGCGGAGTTCGGGAAGTAACGATATCTATGTATTATTTATGTACAGTTATGAAAAACACTACTATCTCCAGCATCTTTTATAATATTTATATACCGATGAGTTTCGCAGAACAAAATGATTAATTTTGATTAACAATTAGTAAAACATATCCGAATGATTACTGATTAAGAATATTTAATATCATGATTAGTCGTTGCAAAATTTGATCAGAAGTTCTGTCTTATTGAGCATATAAATATAGAAGCAAGGAGAGTAAGGTCACACTTTATTTAAAACAATGGATACAAACTTTACTTGGTCAAAAACTCAAAGAGGTGAAATAGCAATTTTGTATAATAGTTACTTATACCACTTAAAACGTGTAAATCAGAACGTCTCGTCAGTATACGCTTGTACTTTCAAATCCTGTTATTGTGCTATTACTCTGAAAAATGATGCGATTACAAAATCTATTGCCACAAATCATAATCATGATTCAAAATTAACTGATAATGTCCAAATTGTATTAATTGGATTGAAACGGCGAGTATTAAATGATGCCAATAAACTAATACCCAAGATTTACGACGAAGAAGTAAAAAAGTTTGTGACTATTTAACGGTGTAGTTGTAGCTTGACCAGTAGGCGATTGCTTTTGACTTTTTTAGCGTCGTGAAAATGGTATAGCTGCTACGGTTTTCGATGCACGGAAATCAACTTTATATTCTATTCATAAAACAATATTATCTTCAATACCGACACCACTATCATGTATTGTAATTCCACAGGATATGTATTATAATAATTCTAAAGAAGAATTTTCGTTTTATAATTCTCCAACACCACATAAAGTTATAGCATTTGGATCGGAATCAGCATTAAAACTTTTAAGTGAAAATTATCACTGGAATGCTGATGGGACATTTCGTACATCGCCAGCATTATTTAGTCAAGCATATTATATACATGTATGGGATGAACATAGTATAAAACCAATAGTATATTCGTGTTGTGAAGATAAATCTCAAAACGGTTATATTTGTTTACCTGGGTCATTAGTTGGCTACGCAGCACAAAAAAGTATTGTTTTAAATTCATCGTCGATATTAATAGATTTTGAAAAAGCTGCCATTAATGCAATTAGTGATGTATTTCCACAAACATTAGTTAAGGGTTGTCATTTTTCAGTACACTCAGAATGTATGGAAGAAAGTTAATAAATATGGTTTGGTAAATTTAGCAAAACAAGAAAATATTCGTCGTCAGATAGCTAATATTATAAGTTTTGAGAGCTCTTTCTCATCGGTATATAGGTGTTATAAAAGATGTCGGAGATAGTAGTGACGAAGGTTAAATTTTTCATTGATATAACTGTTTTTCATAGCTGGACATATATACTACTTAAATATACAGATAATTGCCAGATAATTTTGCAGGTCTTTCCATTTGAATTCGCTCATAAATGGGGTTTCAGCAAAAAGATCTTTTATGTTTATTGTGCACAGGCACATGTCTACTATTACTGTAATAAATATTACTGCTTGACCATTACTTGTTTTTGAGCAATTCAAGATGCAAGAAAATCGATTAATTGTACAAAAGTATTTCAACCTTGGAAAATCGGCTAGTGAAATTATCAAATTAGTGAAACCACTCGGTATTAAAGAACGATTCGTTTACTATACGATTAAAAGGATAACAGAGACTGGCTCTATCGAAAACCGTCCTCGAAAAAAGCGGGAGAGAACAGTACATACCAAACAAATTATCAAAAACGTTCGCGAGCGAATTCGACGAAATCCCCGACGATCATGCAAGCAACTGGCTCAGGAACTGTACGAAGATCGATGCGACGAATATTGGAAATTAATCTTGGATTAAAAGCTTACAAAAAACGAAAGTTACATAGATTATCTTTGAAGCAAATGGACGCAAGGCACAGAAGATCGAAATCGTTGTTGAAACGGCACGATGACGAATCCGTGAAAAAGATCATCTTTTCGGATGAGAAGCTATTTGTGGTGGAAGCAAAATTGAACGCTCAAAATGATAGAATTTATTCTTTGGCCATCGAAGATATACCAGAAAATTTGAGAACCGCTCAACGCTTCCAGAAATCGGCTTCGATGATGATATGGGGAGTTATCAGTCACAATGGCAAAATTCCATTGAAATTCGTCGATAAGGGGATTAAAATTACTGCTCGTTATTACCAAGATGAAATTTTGCGCTCCACGTTGAAGCCCAACGTGGATTCGTTGTATCCCAACGGTCAGTGGACATTTCAACCGCATTCAGCCCCTGCCCATAAGGCGAAAACGACGCAAGCGTGGTTACGATTGAATTGTCCAGATTTTACGTTTTCTGAAGAATGGCCGCCGTCGCCGCCGGATTTGAATCTGTTAGACTTCTGCATATGGGGAACTTTGGAATCGGTTGTTAATGCGAAGCCACATCGCAGCATTGATTCTTTAAAGCGGAAATTGATTCAAGAATGGGATCGTTTAGATATGGATTTGGTGCGTGCCGCGATCCATTCTTGGCGAAGACGTTAAGCATTGGTTGTGAAGCATAAAGGTGGCCGATTTGAATAAACTTTTTTTTATTTTGTTCCAGATCCATTTCGACTTTATTGTGGAAAAATCTTTTGATTTATCTTTTATGATTGTGGGATAAAGATCAACGAAAGTCCTGCAAAATTATCTGGCCCACCCTGTATATAGTCATTAATTCTTCTTACATATGTTTCTACTTCTATTTCTTCTAAAGAGCGACTAATTTATATATCTATATTTTAAATTACGATTGTTGATTATTCACTAATTAAAAAGTGGGCGCAATTTGGAAACGCAGAATAATACAAATTCATTCGTTTCAAATTGCGCTCAGTTTAATATTAATTGGCTTAAATTTCGGGCGCATTTAGGAAGTAGCCAAAAAAGGACGTCCCACTGTTAATTCTTTCACATCGATGATTGAACTTTCAAACCGAGATAGGTAGCGCAGTAATGATTGTTCTGATACGATTTACGTTTGTATACTTATTTTTTTTATTTTATTCTAAAGTAAAATAATAATACATATAATTACGAGAATAAGGAACAAACACTTCTCTTATTTAAAAAACTTTTAATGTGGAAAAACGAAAAAGAGTGGAGTCGTGAGACAAATTAAAAATATCTGACTTAGGTGTGGTTTCGTTTTAAGTCGTTGTAATTATTGTAAGTATAGTCACATTATGTCAAACTGATGGTCAATTATACCTAGTATTACATCTATATTAAATAGAGATTTTTGTGTTCATTCGTTCATCCAGATGCGAAAAGGAATAAAAATGATTAGCAATATTTCTGAACATTACCCTCTTTCTGTCAATATTTATTGAATATTGTTTTTCTTCGATTTAATTCAATTTTTTCTTCTATTTATAACGGATAATTGAACAATGTAGAATTTTATGTTCTTGTCTATAGAGAACATCGTTAAGAATTCTCTTGACTTGGTTTTTTTTATTCATTCTTAGACCTTGACAAAGTGTTCAGATGGAATGAGACCTCTTTGTACAAATACACTCAATTAACGGCAAGAACAAATAGCATGTAATTCATACAGATGATAGTGCTTGAAATTCTCTGCAAGATGATATAATTTTTAATTATTTTCATCTAAATCTCCCGTTGTTTTTTGGGTTAGGTTAGGATTTTTAGGGATTCAGGTCCACGTGCACCTAGATGTACGTGGAGCTGAATCTAGATAAATAATCCAAAAAATTGGGTCGCTTTTGCTTTGATTATCACAGCCATTTTTGCTGTATTGACCATAATTACCCCAACGGTACACGTTGACTGATCATAATTACCCCAAATGAGGTAATTATGTTCAATCGACAGGTGCTCTTTGGAAATTGATTAATACTAATTAACGCAAATGAATTTTAAGAAAATTTTTACATGAATCAATAGCCAGGAATCACCTCTATTTACCTGTAAAATATCGTTTTTCCTGGATAAAAGTTGAGCGAACTATGGCAGAAATACGACGAAATTTTGAGGAGCTGACCATAATTACCCCAAGGCACTCTACTCCCTGCTTGTTTTCTTAATGCAGACAATGGTTTAGATTAAATACAATTCACCTTTTACAAGTATACAAAAGCTATCATTGAAGAAAAGAGAACAGCCAAAATTCAAACAAAAGAAACACACAGTTCTTATCGCAATGTTTTCCTTTGATCGTCGCGACACGAGAGACAAAAAGCGCTTGATGTATTGTGTTGACTGATAAAAAAACCTTGTTTACTCATTTAAAAAGGGTAAAAATTAATGTTCACGCCAAATTTCTGTGCTGTGTTGCAATAACTAACGACTTTAAAAAGGGCCTCAACAAGAGCTTTTTCATATTTTTTGACGGACACATAGAGCAAACAACATGTCTTCGAAACGAAAAGCATCTTATTCTTCAGCCACTGCTGCCGAATCGAACTGATCTTTTCTCAAGACTTTCTTTTTGCTTCTGACAGAAGTAACTTTTCGATATGGATTCAGAGAGAAGAAAGTGAGTTCGAAAGGCACAGCTAACTGTTCAGCGGTAATTTGCAGATGAGCTCTCTTATTACCTTGGAGTTTTATACTATAATGTGTCCAATCTATGATACTTATGGGTTGTCAACACTTCTATAGTTCATAAATTTTGTCTATTTAATGTATATATTGATTAAAAACGTTTCGTGAAATAAACCTATGCGAAAGAATGCCTTTGTCGAATCCTAAGTGCAAAACTCCAGTTTTCTTGAATGTGGTTATCAAGTGAATTGTAAGGGAGAAAGAAACTAGTATCATGAGTACATTCAGAATCAATTCTAATGCCTGTGCAGATCTCTAATGGTTAGTATGAATAACGTTGTCATAGAGTGTATGTTTGCTTTACATTTTGCCTGTTATTTTTCTCTCTGTCTTTGCTATATATATGAGTGAGTTGCAACGCTATTGTACCGTTCAGTTCCAAGATGCAAAATGCAAATATCTCCGATTCTGTTCAAGCAAACTCAATAAACGTTTTTTATTTTGAAGCTCTCACCCTCCCTCACTATAACATTTGAACGGAACGATCTGACGCCCTGCGGTCTGAAGTTTTATAAACCAGACACCAGGACACATCAATACATCAGAAATTCCGAGTTTCGGACAAGGTCTATCGTGGTATGCTCTTTTAAAGCAAAAGTCCGAGCTTGTTATTCAGAGAATTTACATAATGACCTATGCTCAAAAATCATGTAGAATATATACGAGACTTTCCTCTTTCCAGTGACAGAAGTTCCAGGTCCCCATCTATTGTAGTCTGTGGTATATAAGCATTCTCCGTAGCCCCACCTAACGGCTGAACTTTGAATCCAAGAATTCTAAGAAGGATGTCAATCGTCGAAAATCCTTCGATTCAGAAAAAGGTCGAATTTTCGACTTTTTATTTTGTTTATAGTTTTGAAACTATTTTTTCTTATTCACCATTAAAAACTGAACTGGAAAAATGTCTAAAATCAATCTCAAAATAAAACAATTGTCACACGCACGTCCCTACTTGACAGTCGTACGGAGGAAAGACAATGTTGCCAACCTATACTTCTTAGTGTGCGGTGCGAGAGCCACCATTTGCACCTTAAGTGATTCTCTACAAATCCAGCTACAAAAGTGCGTCGAGGTTTTTTAACTCCTTTCATTACTGATAAAATCCATTTTTCTACAACAGAGGCGAAAAACTCTGAATTTTGCTTATAATTCGGTTTTTCCACCAGAAGTCAACTTCAATGCAATCAAAATATCGTATTCGAAATCAGGACAGAAAACTGAGTGGATTGGTGCGTATTTCAGAATTTTAAGTTGATTTTCATTTATTGGTGAAAATCTTGATGAGTTTTCAACGTGTAAATTAGAAAGTACTCGGGTAAGATAGAAATACACCTCAATCGACTCATTTTTCTGTCCTGATTTCGAATACGATATTTTGACTGTATTGAAGTTGACTTCTGGTTGAAAAACCAGAAATTACGAGCAAAATTCAGAGTTTTTCGCTTCTGTTGTAGAAAAATGGATTTTACCAGTAATGAAAGGAATTTAAAAAACCTCGACGCACTTTTGTAGCTGGACCTGTAGAGAATCATTTTTGATGGTGAACCAGAAGAAATAGTTTCAAAACTATAAACAAAATAAAAAGTCGAAAATTCGACCTTTGTCTGAATAGAAGGATTTTCGACGATTGACATCCTTCGACTTTCTTCGGCGTTTCGACATGAGAAACCGATCGTGAAAAATCGAAGCACGCATATTCGTGATCAGCGTGAAAAGCTTTATCTAATGATGTGTAGTAAGTGCAAAAAAAAGTATTCTTCTCCAGTTTTGCTTTATGCGCACCTTAGAATCTATTAAATTGCACTTTTTTGTGAGTATACCGGTTAGTTTTACATCCAAAATATTAGGAAAACTCTTCATTTTAACAACTCAGTAATTTTTCTTATCTTGCTTCCACTAACATGTGATTTGTTAGAAAAAGGAAAATGAATGACTTCGGGTAGCCAGTTCGATCCTCGGTTGATACGATAGTTAGTTACCTTAAAAATTTTTGTTACAGCTTCTAACTAATTTCAGATTGTATCAATATAATTGAAAAATCTCCAGAAATGTTGGATGATGACGAAGACTTTGGACAAAAGGACCCACCATTTTACAAGTGCATACAAGGAATTCTTCGAAGATATCCGCAAGGTGGACAAATATTGAAAGTAAGTATACTTCTTATCAAAAATTATTTGATGTAAAAACATGTGAAATTGAATTCTGATATACTTTTGATTTCTGTCTTTCTCATGGTGGACAATATGATATTTTGTAGGAATTGATTCAAAATGCCGAAGATGCAGGCGCTGACACCGTCAAATTCTATCTTGACCGCAATACATATTCGACCAACAGTTTGCTGCATCCAGGATTAGCTAAATTTCAGGTGGGTACACATTGTAAAGATTTAATCTTACGATAAATGTATGTCTATGTCAACAAAAATCCGATATCTGCAAAGTTACCTTGTGGCTCTAAAGTCTGTACGCCTGTAGTGCATATGGCAGTAGCTACGAAATATTACCTCATACGAATATTTTTCGTCAAAATCTAATTATTTTTATATAAACTGCTTTTGCTGGAATTATCCCAACTGTTACGGAGGAAGCGATAGAGCACACAATTGCGATACTTCCAAAAAGTGAGTTTTATAACGGGTGATCCAAGATAAATTGCACTAAATTCTGATGCATTTTTCTCTCATTTTTGATTTATGAAAAATATGCCCTAATATACCAAAAGATAGAGAATTTCAAGCTCTACAAAACTGTATTCTTTTAAGATTATATGTATTTTCTTTAAAGCAATTTCGGATGAAAAGTAACAACTGTTCCAGGATAAACTGCACCAAATCTTGCTGCATTTTTCTCTCGTTTTCAAATAATGAAAAAGATTTTTTATATACCAACAGATAGAGAATTTCAAGCGCTACAAAACTGTATTCTTTATTTTAAAAGACATAATCTCCATCGCGTTGCAAATCTTTTGCATTATTCGAAACTGAGAAAAAAATGCAGCAAGATTTGGCGCAGTTTATCCGGAACAGTTGTTACTTTTCATCCGAAATTGCTTTAAAGAAAATACATATAATCTTAAAAGAATATAGTTTTGTAGAGCTTGAAATTCTCTATCTTTTGATATATTAGAGCATATTTTTCATAAATGAAAACTGAGAGAAAAATGCATCAGAATTTAGTGCAATGTATCTTGGATCACCCGTTATAAATAGTTAGATTTTGATGAAAATGTTCGTGTGAGATAATGTTTTTGTAACTGAGGGCGTATGTACCAAAGCTGCACAGAATTTAGAGTCACAAGATAATCCTATTTATAGTAGTTTGGTATTTCATGCTCATACACATAATTTGTACGTCAAGAAATGCGAATATGTTATCATTTTTAATAAGACAGTCAGTGAGACGTTTAACTGAAAACAATGGACAAATCTTCAATACTTTGAGAAGTATTGGAGGTTTTGACCAAGTATTAAACGAAGCATCGATCAACAATACTCTCGATGTTATTTCTATTTCTAAGTTATCTTCTGATACTTCTCAAAATGATGCCTGTTAGTAATTCTCAAAGAAAATTCCAAATATATTAAAAAGAATATGTTAAAAAAAGTTTTTCTCGTATCAAAATGAATCTAATTAAGACCTTGTTCTCGACTTGCTAATAACCAGGTCTTGAAAACTAAACAAGAAGATGTCCAGATAATTGGTAAAACCAAGACGTGATAATTTGACATAACACTTGTCAGCCAAAATTTAAAGTAAGCTTCTCTAAAACATATTTCTGATATCAATCGTACGATTAATTAGGAAGAGGATAAAATTCTACTGACACATTTAAACTCTTATCGTTTACACTGTCATTACCCACTGTCACTACCCAATAGTTGTACTCGAGTAAAAATCTAGTATTCTAGATGAATCGGGCGATACTCGATTTCTTTTTTTGACGCTTGGGCGTAACTAAGGAGTAGCGGCTGTTACAACGTAACCACAATAGCAAAAGTACTCATTGTTTTTACACTACATTATTGATCTGAACAAGTATTCTCGAGATAAAGGAACTACTTTTAAGAGGGAGAGAGATCACTACCTCAGTAGGAAAGCATGATGGAAAATCATCTCTGTTCATATATGTTATTCAAGTATCTCTGGCCCATAGTTCCTATCTTAGCACCCGATCGAAATCAGGAATCGCGAAAATTGCTGATTTGCTTCGCATTTTGATGGATCCACTGCAAAGAAGTGAAAGTGCAGATTATATCATATTTTGGTAGCTCAGCTCAGTGATTAGAGCTTTTACAAGAGGGTCCTGTATTTGATTTCCTTTCGATGCTTACATTTTCCTTTTACATGTTTGTTTATCAAGTTATCTCTGTCATACGTGTGAAAACAAACATTAATTTTGAGTTAATCCGTTCAGGAAAATATTGTCTATTGGGATATTCAAAAACTTGATTTGTTTCCTAAGTTGTTTGCTTGGAATCAGCAAATCAAGAAAAACCCTAGCTTTAGTTAGGAATATTTGCTCTATCGGTTAAACATTTTTGTACATCATTCTTCTAATAACAGAGGCAGAAAATTGTTATTATCTTGACTACCGACTATATCATACACAACACTTTTGTTCGTTTGACGACAAGCAAAACGGATTTCGTTTTGGTAAGAACATCCTTTTATCTTAGCCAACCTTCAGTCTTCAATAGGCCACTGAAAACAAAACTCTTGATGAACACTTTGCGAATAGAACAATGACTCAAGCCTGTTACATTTTTAGGGCCCAGCTTTACTGTGTTATAACAATCAAGTGTTTAGCGCATTGGACTGGAAAAACATTCAGAACGTCGAAGAAAGTGCAAAAAGTGAAAATGCCTTAAAAATTGGAAAATTCGGATTAGGTTTCAAATCAGTTTATCATTTGACAGGTAGGACGAAAAGCAGAAAGTACATATCACACACTGTTCACACCCTGTATCCACCATGACAGTAGGCACTAGACAAGCATCGGTTTTGGTCTAATGAATTTACAAAAAAATGGCTTCCATTTGATGATGCCGATAGTGTTCAGTAACAGTTTTGTAGAACATCAGTGAATATTAGCTTATCCTTTGATTTGAAGAACTTGAAAGATTTGTATAATGTCCACAACCACTTTAACAGCCATTGCAGCAGAGATATAGCCAACTGATGTTCCATTAATCTCACAGATCTCGCTGAAACTTTTAAAATAGGAAGGTCTGACATACACAAGGTCAATCTAGAATAACTCTAAAAGGATTTGTGCCCACGCACCTGCGGGGCAGAATTATAAGTCTTTTACTGGATTTTTGCCCTATGGCACTGGTTTATCTATAAAATCGAATCAACGAATTAAAACCTGAAATTTCACTCATTAAGAGGCTTAAGGGCCACTAGAATATCCTGCAAGTTTCAGACAGAACGAATGCATTCTTCTTAAGCATATTCAATTTTCAAAAACCGACCATTTCTCAGAAAGAGTTGACAAAATCGGAATTGATTATAAATTCAATATCTCAGGAAGAATACATTCGTTCTGTCTGAAACTTTCAGAATATTCTAGTAGCCCTTAGACCCCTTAATGGGCGAAATTTCAGGTCGAAATTCGTTGATTCGATTTTACAGGTAAACCAGTGCCATAGGGCAAAAATCCAGTAAAAGGGTTATAACTCTGCCCCGCAGGTGCATGGGCACAAATCTTCTTGGAGTTATTCTAGTGTCGGGATCGCCTACTTATTCTCAAAGTTAAAAAAAGTGGTTAATCACTTCTGGCGGTTCCCTCGTCAGTTTCGCATTATCACTGAAAGTTGAAAAGTATAAAAAAGGTGAAAATCCGGCATACTTTTGAAAATTTTAATCGTTTTTCTACAGTTGTAAAATTTGTAAGAAGTGTTTTCAAAAATTTCTGCCTTGAAAATACTTTTTAAAAATTGAAATCCGCATTATCCTAGTTAATTTGACTAGCGCTATCTAACTATATATAAATAAAAGTTTTGAATTATTGACATCTTACTTCTCTCTGAATAAAGTGGAAATGAGCAAACACCCTAGAGATCAAATCTTATATAGGATTTCTATCAGAATCTTATAGAATATCTGCAGCAATCTTATGAGAATTTTATAAATTTCTTAATAAGGCAATCGATGAAAATACGTAGAACATTGATAAGAAATTCATATAAGAAACTGGTAAGATTCATATGAGAATTTATAGAATTGTTATATAAGAGATTTGAAAGTCAACTCTATAATGTCCTGTTTCATAAGTGAATAAAATAATTTTCTTTCTGTTTATTTTGCTTTTTCTTAGTTCCTCACAAATGAACTTACTGTACAGTTAGTTACTTACATGACTCATTCTTCAATAGTAAGTGATCAAAGAAACGAGTTTTATAATTGATCGCGAGAGAGAATGTATAGTTCAGATACATTTTAATGAGTTGTTACTATTAAGATACAAACCAGATCTCTCAGCATAATTCTGACAAAAACCTAGCTAATTCTCTATAGGAATTTATGGGATTCAAAAGGTTTCCTAGTGTAAGCTTTCCCGTGTTCTGTAGGATCCCATACACTTCCTTCAGTTTGCATATAGGCAGACGTTTTATATAATTTGTTTAGAAGAATTCATAAGATTTTGATACGTTAACATACAATTTTTATTCACATCAATCAGTCTCTCTTACTGGAATCTTACTACAATCTTATAAGATTCTTATATTTCTCCGTATAAAACCTTATCAATAGACTACGCATTTCCATCAACTGCCCTATATAAGATTCTCATTACAACAATTTTTGAAGTTTTTCTCCTACATTCGATCTTCCGACCTTCATATCGCTACTATACATAAATGTCGAAATAGTATAGCTAATAACATGTGAGTGATCACTTGTAAAGACTATTCAAATATGTACATAAGTGTACGATCTTCATACGAATGTACCTCGTAGTTTCCTTTTGCACAATTTAATGCAATAGGAATATGCGTAGTTGGAGAAGGGCAATGATATGAAGGACAGCAGAGTGACAGTGAAGTATGTTGTTGAGCTCAGTAACTTTTTAAAAGAAGGGACATGGTTAGGACGAATGAATCCAATTTTTATTCAGTCAATTGATCCCAATGGAGAACTGATGCAATTGATTGATCTAATTGAACTAACTCCAAATCACAATAAATTGGATAAAGCTCAACTTATACGATCAGATCTTCAGTTTACTTCATGCCTGTAGTAGAGTAGTGACTTGTTCCCCTTGCATTATGTACGTTTATTCTAGATCTACCGTCTGTCGTCAGCGATCGTTACATTGGTTTTTTTGATCCACATGGTGTTTATTTCTCTGAACCGTTACATCCAGCAAGAGGAAAACGTATCGATTTTTTGAAAAATGCCAATATAATAACAAAATGTGGTGATCAGTTTGAACCGTACAAAAATACAGCATTAGGTTTAGATTTTACTACAGCATTCAAAGGTACACTGTTTCGATTTCCACTACGAAATGCGGATGCTTGTGTAACAACAAAACTTTTTGTTGGGAAACCGGATCCCATTTCAGAAGACGATGTCCAAAATTTAGTTAAAGGCTTTCTGGATGATCTCTCGTATAATATCCTATTTTTAAGAAGTATATGTTTGATCGAATTACATGAAATACCAGAATTGAAAAAATTGAAAACGTTAGCCGCAGTTTCTGCCACGCGACAAGGTGATACTTCTATGTCAAACATAATCACAAGCAGATGCGCTTCAATTGATTCAAAAACATTCGATGCAGATGACGTCGAATTACAATATGAGATATTCTTAACAGAAGAGGTAAGGGAAGCCGTCAAAATTCGCATCGGTGAATTCATTCACCGGTAATTTCATTGGAAAGAAAATTGAGAACAGTATTAAGAGTAACAGTATTTCTTTCTATGCACACTCTAGACAGAGATACAAAGCAAGAAATGGAGAAAAGAACAAACTTTATCGTTTTATGCAAAAGAAAGAGTCCCTTCACTAATTAGTGTTTATTTGAGCAACTTCCCAGATTAAAAAGTTAACAAATTTAACAGTACCCTTCTCCAGTTTTTCTGCCAGTTCGTAGTATACAACTTGTACTCTATACCATACTAGTTTTTAGAAAAAGTTGCCGTTTAGTTTTTGAGTTATAAGACTGCCTCTGTCACAGCTGAACCTATGAAAAAGTAGGTATCTACTCTAGTATAACAGCCAAAATGGTTTTTCAGAGAATTTTCTGAACTACCATGACTTTCCGGCTTTCTCTTCGGGCCATGCTAGCCAGAGATAATGTATGTAACACAGAAATAAAAATAGTTAAAAGACTGCTAATATCCATTGTCAGTATGTTCTTGAAACGGAGCTATTGATAATCAATGAATAAGAGTGTCAGATAACGAACAATCCATTACCCTATATTCATCATTGTATAACGAAATAAGAGTGTCATAATCCACGCACTGATGAAACAGATGAAACTTTGATGTTTTCTTCTTTCCATGCATACTCTAGAGAGATACAAAGCAAGAAATGGAGAAAAGAACAAGTTTTATCGTTTTATCCAAAAGAAAGATTCCCTTCACTATCAAATTAATGCTTTTTTAGGCAACTTCCCAGATTAAAAAGTTAACAAGTTTGAAAGTACCCTTCTCCAGTTTTTCTGCCAGTGCGTAGTACACAAGTTGTACTCTGTACCATGCTATTTTGTAGAAAAAGGTACCGTTTAGTTTTTAAGTTATAGAGATCTCAATATCACAGAACGAAGTTAGTTATATGTATAGTTCAGTTTAATTTTATAAAGTGCACGAATTTGGAATCACACACATAACTTTCTTGATTACTTTTCAGAACATCATAGGCAGAGAAGCCCAAGTTCTACATTTATTTTTTCCAGTAAAAGGACTGCAATTAAATGAAAAGGATAATTTTACTAACTTTTATCTTTAAAACTGACAGCTTTATTTCTTAAAAACTAAAAGACCCCTGTTTCTGAAAAATATGGCCAATACATTAGAATTTGTGAACTTCAGATTACTGCACGAAGCGAAAAGGGGTCCTTTCTAATTATTCCACTTTTTAATTAGGGAAGTGAATAGAATACAAAGTTAATTGATAGCTAGGCCACATTTAATAATTCAGTCTTTTTCTTACTTTGTTCGTGAAAGACAAAATGTTCTGTATGCTCATACCCGAAAAAAAATCAGAATTAAGAATTGTGTGATAGAAGAGAATAACATAAAATGGCTATTTTCCTATGAGAATTATTTATAGCCAAACAAATCAAAATGTATACAGATGATGTAAAATATACAAATTACAAAAAATTTTGTAATTTGTATATTTTCCATCATCTGTATGTCTGTGTGATTCCAAAAACGTTGAGTCTCTTTTAAATATGCAGTTAGAATGCTCTATGTCGAGAAATATAGAGAACACACTTTATATGGATCGATACCATTATTCTACCACAGAAACTTACGTGTACTTCATACAATAGGAACGCCATTAGTATAAATAAAATTCGCTTTAACAGAAGCGCTAGCGTTCAGGGAACGCCAACTTTAGCGTTCACATTCAAGGAACGCCAAGGTAATTTAGTGTTCACGTTCAAAGGAAATGCTGAAAAGGAATGGTGAACGTTTACAGGCCTAGTTCCGAATACGATAGTCGGCGTTGCTTATAGATCTTTGGGGATCTAGTTTTTTTGAAAAATCAGTTTTCCATATTCAAAATTTTGTTTTCGAAGTTAATTTTTGGCCTGCCTAGATCGTAAAAATACGTTGAACATTAATACCGGCGGCTGTCTTAAACCATGTATGCGGTTTTCACAAAAAATACGATTTGACATATGGAAACGTTCTGCATAAGTGCAAAAGATAATTAACACATAAAGTTTTTTCAGCGGAAGGGCGTGCGAACGTTTCCATTAATAATGTATTTTACGCATGCCGCTTTATTTTGATATTTCTGCAGGAGTGTGCATTTTGGGCTACACTAACGCAATGTCAGAAACGCTATGTTCTTATATGCTTTTTCTTGTGCTGTATTTTTATATGTATCGTATATGCAACCTTATATTTATTTATATATGATCCTTTTTCACTGAAAATTTGCTTAGGATTTTCCTGTGTGACTCCTCTTATCTCTGAAGAGACGGACCTAGTACCTACAGATCGGAGGGCGAGCTGTGAGACTTGTCTGTAGGCAGATTTGATGAACGTGTCTCGTAGTTGTCTGAAAATATCACATAAAACTTGGTATTAATTACACACTATAACATTTTATATATCAAAAACAATGACATTTCCTCGCGTTTTACACTTTTATTTCTGCAAAAAAACGCAGTTGTAAGTTAATGTGTGTGATGTTACTTGAGCTGTGGAAATGTTACTATAATTTTTTGCAACAAATTGGTTGTGAATTCTTGCAGGTTTTTGCTTTTGATGTCTCAGGAAATCTCTACTTCATATACATCACGAACACCGATTTCTGTCGTTTTTAGAATTATACAATGAAAACAACAAAGCATCACAAGTTTCTTAAGGCGCGCGTAATTCAAAGTTCGAGCACTATCTCACTTTCATATTTTGTCTACGTAGACCAATAGAGAAAAGTGCGCTGAGTTCAACGGTGTCCTTGGAATTTCGGAAATTCCTTTCTTTCCTTCTCGAAAATGTAAAATACTGCGGCGGGTCGAAAAACGCGAAAAATCGAACTTTCGAGAAAAACCCTCGTTCTTTTTTCCCAAGCATGTTTTTCGATCCGGAAACTTGTTCTATTAGATTCAGCAGCCTCGATTACCTATAGAAACCTCTTTTTCAAGTTCGTTTTGCGTCGCTGGCCAGGATCAGAAAATCATCAGGAAATGATCCAACGAAGTCGTCACAGCACCGGAAAAGCTTATAGACTCAGCCACTGGAAGAGACGGAGCCTTGATTTTGACGCTGTTAGATCCGCCGTGCTGCGAACTACAAAGTTACGTATCTTTTTCTCAGAAATTCTCTCTCCTTTTTGAGCTATTACGCTTTCTTGGAAGCAGGAAGGTGCCCTAGTACAATCGGGAAGCTTGTTTGCGCCTAACTTTCACAGTTCTCGTCGTGGAACCTTGAAACTCCCGGAGTTTAGGTAAAACGCCATGCTGAATCTATTAGAGACACTCTTAGGACTGGTGAAACATCTTCAGTATATCGATGGTAAACCATGTGAGTGCAATTACTGATGTTTTCTCTTTTCGTGTGCAAATATGACTGAGTACGAGCGCGAAATATCAACTGTTATACACCGTTCGATAGCGAATTTCACGAGCTACAAAATGATATATGAGATAGCTTTAAGATAATGTAACTGCGTACTCTAAGATCCGGAATACCCGGTAGCATCCCAGGAAACCGGTAGGTCAACGTCGCTCATATTTTTAACGATGATTAATTTTCTCGTTAATTATTCTACTTTATACATCATGCGATAGAGAATTTCACGGGCTTCAAAATGTTATATAAGATAGTCTTAAAAAAATGTAACCGGATAGTCTAGGCTCCGGAATACTCGGTAGCATCTCAGCAAACCTGTGGGTCAACGTCGTTCATGTATATAATATCCATTGATTTTCTCGTGAATTACTCCACTTTATATCTCATTCGATAGAGAATTTCACGAGCTTCAAAATGAGCTATAAATAAGTCTTTCAAAATATGCCCCCATTGGTCAATAGTTGAAGTACTTGGCCGATATAATGATTTACACCTAGCTTAGTACTTTGAACACTCCGTTAGTCGTTTTTCTGCTATAACGAATAATGATGTACTGTTCGAAAACATACCATTGGATAGCCCTTGAAACTCTCTACAAAGTGAGCTGGTCACAATGTCCAGACAGGTGTGGCCAGTCATTAAAGATACGGAAAAGAAGCTTTTGGGTGTTATCTAAGCAGTACAGTGTGTCATAATCACAAGAACTCCCTTATTTTTGACGTTTTAGTAAAAGCTGGAACCAATCTGAATGATGTTTTGAATAGCCCGAAGATTTTTCTATCAGATGAGGTGCATATCGCCCTTTCATGAGAAAAGTTGATAATAGAGCTTCTGGAAAACCTGACCGCTG